AATCGTAGCTATGCTACTGCAGTAAAACATCTGTTGCACGAGTTAATTGGGGACGAAGGTGTTGGAATAAGCTAATTACGAGCATAATAAGATACAGCATAAACATATAAATAGAAAATAAATAAGAAGATGCAATAGAACAAACAGTGTATATGATAGAACAGAAAGTGTGTAGTGTCGATATTTCTATGGAATATGTAAGAAATAAAATAAATATTGCTTTGCAGGCATTACGTTGTTAATTAATTTATAGCACAGGGTTGTATATATGGAAGGATATTGAAATAAGAATAACACTAAACAGTGGAACATGGTTTATTGTTGATATTAATAACAATTGATGGTGTTACAAGTTAATACGTAATTACCAATATTAATGTTGTTTCGTTGAAGCTAGTTGTACGAGCAATAAACAGTGAGTAAGTCTAACATATCTAACTTTTAATTATAATATACCGTAATAAAATAATACGGGAGACTACAAATAAAAGTTCTTGTGTAACATCCCTCATACGATAGAACGTTTTAAAGTACAATAACTAACTACTACGAATTACCGGAATGTGATATATGACGAGGAAATAACATCACAACATGAAAAAAGTATTAAAAGAAGAAAGATTGAGACTGTTACATATTTCAACGAAACTTCACGTTATGATGAGAAAACAGAGATATTTGTATTTTATAAAATTTACAAAATTCCAAGCACTTCGTGTGGCTGCTACAGCTTTTGGAAAAGAAAAATTAAGTTGTCAAAATAATAAAAACAAATTAGCTATTTAAAAGGAAAACGAAGCAAGATAAAAATAAAATACAAGCTATGTATAAGTTGATAAGATTAAAAATTATACTATACGCGAGATTAACTGTAATATTAATTCAACATACATATCAAGAGAACAATTTCTAAATTGTAAAAAACGCAGAAAAATAAAAATAAAATAGAAGCTATGTATAAGTTGATAAGATTAAAAATTATATTATACGCGAGATTAACTGTAATATTAATTCAACATACATATCAAGTGAACAATTTCTAAATTCTTCCTCTCTTTTCATAACTTACTATACTTTTTCCATATATTTTCCGTGGTATAAGTCGAAGATACAAATCTATGGAATCACGTAAGACGTTAAAAGCTACCTGCAAAGAACAAAGAGAAATCTTTTTTTACAAGTTAGTAACAGCAAGGAGACAAAATTTATTACCTCTTCATCTAGTTTTATATCTTCAGATGCACGCAGAACTATTACACTGCCATTGTCCGTTAAATATATTGGTACCCATGCTGATATCCACAATATATTATCCTGTAAGAGATTAATAAAAATTTATTCAACCAACAACATTTCACATATTGTGCTATATATTTTATAAAATCGCAAATGAATGTTTTTGTGCATTTGTAATCGTTAAACCGTATAGAACCGTTTAGTTACTTGACGAACTCTTTGTATTTAGATTCTCTTAGTATTACTAAAAATTCTCAACGCGAGAATTGATTGTAATTTTAATAAATAAATAAAAAAAAAAAAAGAAAAAAGATTCTCTTGATATGAGCGCTGTGTCCAATTGAAAGCATTCAGATGCGGACGTCTGATCTTTCCGGAACTCTACTACTGTGTATCTGATACAAACGTCTGATCTGTACAGGATTTCTCTACTGTGAATCTGTGCATCTGTGCATCTGTGCGATTTATTTATTAGATACAATATACAATACAATATATAATCGTTCAAAATACCTGAATACTTACGAGCAGTGGTGTATATGTACAGGTGAAATCATGCAAATAGTAGACATAATATTATAATTAATATCTTGTTGGTCCTACGTAATCATGGATAATATCGCGCTGTTATCTTAACATTACATTAAAAAGACTGAAGATTCTATAGTTTATGATATAATTTTATTCCAAAATTTCCATGAATTAGATGATTTAATCTTTTCAATTCCTTTTAGGAATACATACATAATAATCGTACTGAAATGTAGAGACAACTAATTTTGCGACACACGTTTTCACTCTCTTAAGTCAGAAACAAAATTAAATAGCCGTATGAAACTTTTCGTAACTGACATGTCCATCTAATTAAAAAAGTTAGAAATAAGGGAAATATCGAATATGTAAATAGCAAAGTTTTAAACGAAAATAAAATATTTAATGGAATAAATTCCAAATTAGAAAAATCAAAGAACATACAATTATAAACATGATATAACAACTTTTTATTTAAAAATGAAAAATTTATAGTAATATTAATAATAAATAATCTTGCAATTGAAGATATGTGTATGTTAAAAATGAATCTCTGTGTGCCGTGAGGTCCCTCCCATCTTGCTTATCAGAATACGTCACTGCCTCCTCCATCTCGTAGCCAGATCCTATAAACAAAGTCTCTATTCTTTTTCTTTGTCAATGCAACGTCGGGTAGCTTGGCGTCAGCCTATCTCTCTACCAATCTATCTCTCGCCAAACTGTTTCACTCTAAACAGGTGATCGATACCTCATACCTCGTTTCACGACTTCCAGTCACCGGCTATCGACTTTCCAAATATTTGCTCAAGCATCCTGTCAATCCATAAATTATCATAAAGCTAAATAACGGCGTGGCACGAAATTGCATCGCCGCTAACGCGTATACGTGTGTGTGCACGTATCGTTTATTGTAACGAGGCTCGTAGCTCAGTACAATCTTTGTTTATTAGTATAATCTATATCTTTCATTTCTTTATTTGTTTTCTTATACGATATAAAAGCCACACTTCAGGAGAACACGAATTTTGAGAAAAGTTTGAGCTTGTGTAACTTTGTGCTATCAGTAAGCTCTTTGTGCTATGTAATCATCAGTAAGCTCTTCGTGTCTCCCAAGAGGGAACAGCCGAGTAATATCAGAGATTAAGTAATAGAAAATTCTAATAACTTCATTTGGCGACTTAACACGTTGACTGCCACGCGTATTTTCAAAGAAATCCCCGTCAGGCCACGTGTGCAGCAGTACCAAGCGTTCTCTGCTAGGTGCTCCCATCGATATTTTAGCAATGCGAATCGTTCAAGCGGTGGTCTCGAGAATGATCTTTCGTTTCGTTTGTTCGCAACATTAAAACCACTAGGATCTCTCGTTTCGTTTGTTCGCAACATTAAAACCACTAACTGTTGTTGAATATAACAAAGGAAAGTGTGGTATAGATTATTCCGACCAAATGGTTTCTTATGCCACCACAATTACAAAAGGAATCGAATGGTACAGAAAACTTGGCGTTCAATTCCTTCTGGGAATTTCTGTTGTAAACGCTTTGACGGTTTACAAAATCGCAACAAGAAAAATATAAATATTAGAATATTTAGACAATTATTAGTTGGAAAATTATTAGGGTCGTCTGAAAATACAAAAGATCCTTGTCTTCGACGGAGTCAGCATAATATCGCCGTTCGGAAAAACGATGTCGGAAGAAGCATTAGACGCGCGTGCAAACTGTGTTACGCGAATAAAAGACGCCGAATGGACCGAACAAAGGCAGAAAAGAATTTGAAGAAAACAACAACTTATTGTCCAAATTGTCCCGACCAACCTCACCTATGTATAGAATGCTTTAAAGTTTTACATTCCAAATCATTTTTTTAATAAACCATTTTCGTATTTTTATTTTATAACGATTCAACAGTTTTATTATTATAGAATATCTTTTCAAATACCTACGACGATCCCTCGCAAGTATTCAAATAAGCGACACCCGAATATGGGTTACGCGGCTCGACCAGAAACTTTGCTGGCACCTGAATACGGGTGTCGTAGCAGTCAACGTGTTAATATGAATTAATTAATATTAATAATTGTATAAAATTCTATTAATAATTATTGAATATTTATCAATATCGACAACTTTTATATATATATATAATATAATAGCACGTATTTCTATGATCTATTACTGTGGTATTAATTTCGCATATAAATTTATAATACAGTCTCTAATGATGAGAAATTATGTATATCGAAATGAAAGCAAATTATGTAGATACTATTTGATTTAATATCAATATAAAAGCATCAAACGCATGCGATATGCATTCTACCCGTATGAAATTTACATGATGGCGTGTGCAATTCTGCGTAGGAATAATCGTCGAGCACGTTAACTACGGTGTACCATGGACAGTGGCTAGTCGGTTGAAACCATGCGTCCTATTGATTTTTCAAGTACCGCTAACCGATCAATATTTATGCTATCCGGTGCGACGCTCTTCGACACGTATCAAACGCAAAGTCATTTCCCTGTCCATAACCAACCGAATTAAAGAATCATTATTGAATGACGAAACACCACGAACGTCGGTTTTATAGCGCAAATGGTCTAACCGCGTTCTCGATAGGAGACATGAAAATCGGTATTTTTCATTTTATACACATGATAATCAAACAGCCAAAAAATTCTACCAAATGTCCAAATCGGACAAGTTGCGAATGTAAACAACTAAATAAAAAAAAAATTTTATGTCACCTCGATTCCGTATAACGATAATTTGCTTCAGCATCTCGGCTTCTCACGTTTTAACGTCGTTGTCTCATAACGTTCCACTTCTGTATAAATAAATAAAATGGTAATATAACTTGACAGACACGTTCGTCAAAATTTAAACAGAGACGAGGCTTTAGTTTCACGAGGAGCGCTGGTTATTCTCTATACACTGGCCAAGGGTGTTCTCGGATTCATAAAATGCGAGGACACGCACTGAATCATGCGGGACTCACACGCATTTTCGAGCAAACTACATATTACCTCGTCTGCTAATTTGACGAAGTTGATGCTACTCAAACTTTTGACGGTTAATGTACATGTATTATATAAACGAATTCTCGACCGTATGTGTGTATGTGCATACGTGTATGATGCACGAGAAGTGTTTCCTTCTGTTTTAACTATGAAATATTTTGCTTATTTCTTAATTAATTCTAAATCTAAATATTATAGTATCGTGGACGAAAGGCCTGAGAGGTATCGGCTGAACTATAAACAATGTCACCAGAAAGCCGAAGTGCCAACAGGCCCAACAATGTATCGTCTGTCCTTCAATCGAATAGTTTCGCAGATAAGGCCTGCGTGACCCTGGCCACGAACGGTTGCGGAACACGTGCGTGATGGGGCTGAGACAAAAGACAAAGGGATGCTAAGAGACAAAGACGAGTCTATGGCCAGTGTTAGTTGAGAAGTCAAAGTTAGTTGAGAAGAGTTGAGAAGCCAAAGAGTGTGAATCGGGAGATATTGTTGCTAGTGTCATGACCGGCACACTTCAAAACCGATGGTCTGATGACGAACATTCACCAGATGGCAAGGGACTGCACGCGGCAGCAGCAGGTCCAGAGCCCAGACCCAACACCCGGAGGTCCTCTCCACTTCATAAGATAACCACTTGTGTAGGGATGCGACTGAGTTGTAAGAGCTTCAGTCTTGGAAGGTCACGGCTGTAGTTCGGAAGTAAACTGTCGTTAGCGTAAACAAAGTGTTAGGAAATAAATTCTCTCTTTTTTATCTTCATCTTCGATTTCTTTTTTTTTTATTTTACGGGCCTGTTTTGGCGATCCTGCCAGGATAGTGAAAAACGTTTGTTCAGAAACCAAAAGACATTCATCATCTACGGAAGATAGAATTATTTGGGACTACAGTCATCCGCAACAACGAAGAAACTATCACAAAGCAAGTGGTGTGACGATAAAAGGTAAACTGGATTCCTTTGTACGTTGCGGTGAAAGGAAACCTAGCTTCAGCAGGAGTAAGACTCGTCTTCGTCCGAAAATAACAAAATCAGCGCACCAATGCCTAGGACAAACAAACCTCAAACCTCTACCTCAACTGGCCCATTGTTGCGAGCAATATTGGACAGTATCCAAAAACAGAATGAGAATATCGCCCGTTTACGAGAGGATATGTTACGTTTGCCTATGCAAAGTGGGGCACAACACAGGGCAGCAGAAATCGACGGTCTTGGAAAGTCACAGCTGCAGTTCGGAAGTAAACTGTCGTTAGCGTAAACAAAGTGTTAGGAAATAAATTCTCTCCTTTTTATTTTCATCTTCGATTTCTTTTTTTTATTTTACGTGACATTGTCGAGAGAGTGTGGTCCGCGTGAGAGAGAGAGAGAGAGTAACGTCAATTCACATCAGAGACCAGGTTACACACCGTGGGCAGGATGGCGCTCAGATGTCTGCACATCCTTGGCGCGTACTCTCAATAGTCTTAAGGACCCACCATGGATCTTGGCGTTTTCATAGTTAAGATCCTTCAGACCAAACAAGTGTCTTTTATTTTAAGTGCCCCTTTACATTTATTGTTTACTACGGGGAGTTGACACGGGAAAGTTGGTTTTTCTCACGTTCGGTATCTTGCGTTAGCAATTTTCTCTCGAGGGCGACTAAAACCCTTCCTGGCCCACCAACCGTCTTATTGTCCAATCGCAGACGGTGTCTACTGCCCCCACTTCCTTAACCAAAATTGTCATCAACAAATTCGACAGTCCCGTGTCCTTAGACACACCCACCTCTAGCTTTCCTCAGACACAGTATCGTCAGTAAGACTTCACTTATTGTGTATCCTTAGAATAGTCAACATATCTTTACCGGTCTCTACCATTATAACAGTCGCGTACTTAACGTATCATTGTAACTAAGTTTTACATAACGTGGTTGAAGTGAATTGTGATTTATGTTAATTCAGTGTGTGTTCCAGTTTGACTGCTGAATTTGTAATAAAGTGTAATTAAAACAAAATTAATAGTTGTGTTACGACTCGACTATTTTTATTTTATCAGCCAACCCTGAAGTTTACGTGGCAGATCCGTGGTGACGAGAGTTGCAGATTAACTATCTAGTTGTCTTAATTATAATATGTTATTGTGATTAGTTCACGTTAAACAACCATCGTTGCCTGTTTAACCAACATCTGTTTCATCCATTTGTAAAATATTATTTTAAATAAAATAATTGTAGTAAAGATACTGCAATATATATGCGATAGTTACAGTAGTTCATAGAGTTTAGTGTTTAGATTTAGAATTCTAATGTAATATGTAGTATAAAGACAAGTAGTATACTGTTAGTAGTCTGCTTATTTTTACCTTCGACTGTATATAAGGATATTCTTTGAATTCTCTGCGGTTTACCTATTATCCGCAAAGTAATACGTACATGGATCAATTAATTAATATTTTTTACGCAACATAACAGCTATGCTTCCTTTCGAAGAATTTTTATCTCGCTTAATTGCAGGAGAATAATGCGACATTTGATTAATTTCTCAGATTAATCGATCGGCTGGAACATCGAGGATAATCGGGATATAAATGAGAAACACTTTTCGCTACACGATGATATATTCCTCGTTTCCTTTCGCAGGGCTTCGTATTTTATTTTTCGTATTGGTAGCAAATGAACCGGACAGCCAACTGAAAGAGCACTCCAATCGCTCTCATCGCCTCGGGGCGATGGTTCTGTCTGCAACTTGGTTCAAGTTTAATTGAGCTTGAAAGTTTTCGACTTGTTGTCTGAATTCACCTCCACGCGCCTACCACTTTTATCATTCGCCTCCTGAACGACATTTTTTGACGTCGAGAACGATCTCCGTATTCAATGTACCATACACAAAATTAATTCCGAACAACGAACGCCTATCTTCATTTTTTAGTGCATGTCAAAATGATGAAACGAACTATCGTTTGTCGTATGTGGTAATTTTTTTCATTTAATTTTCTAATTACACTGCCGGTCATAATTAGACTGCGAATGTTTATGCATTTTGGGGTAATTAAAAATTCCAAGAATCTACAGACTGTATAATATGCAAAAATATATGGAATATTTAAGGTAGAGCACTTGCTATGATATTTAGCAAACGAATTTCTATTTAAATTTCATTTTTTAATTATGTCGATAAAAATTAGAAATCTATTTAGATATCTAATATGATTTGATGACACTTGCTATGGTATTTAGCAAACAAATTTCTATTTAAATTTCATTTTTTTAATTATGTCGATAAACATTAGAAATCTATTTATAAATTTAATATGATTTGGTGACACTTGCTATGGTATTTAGCAAAGAAATTTCTATTTAAATTTCATTTTTTAATTATGTCGATAAAAATCTTAAATCTATTTATAAATTTAATATGATTTGGTGACACTTGCTATGGTATTTAGCAAAGAAATTTCTATTTAAATTTCATTTTTTAATTATGCCGATAAAAATCTTAAATCTATTTATAAATCTAATATAACATTTCATTTGTGTTCTACGTGTCTTATAATGCTCTTTTTAGTTCCTTTATTAAATGTTTGTAATTCTTTAATACAGCTTTTTACTATAATTTTTGGAGAGTTTTGTTTAAAATATCGTGAAGATTCGTTTATTATTTATTTATTATTTCTGTTTCATATATATGTTCTAGTAATATATGTGTTTCATTACTCTCGCGTTTGGTTATATTACGTGCTTGTAGAAACATTTCCGCGCCGATTTCTATCAAATAGTGTTATTTATAATGAATGATCAAAATAAAATGCAGTAATATAACTTGAAAATCGGAGTAGCATAATTAATTTCTAAATCAAGTTGCAGCTTCATAAATTATTATTTCTATTTTAAAATTGTACTTTTCTGTCGTTATTACCATATTGTTGACTGGAAACAGAATATACATACAAAGATTTATTAAGACATATTAAGATTAGTTTCTTAACAATATAACATATTAAGATTTATTAAGACATTTATAGCATAAAATAATAGAAAATTGGCGGTACAAATACATTCTTTATAAAAGTATTCTTAAACTTTCTACGTCGCTCCAATAGTGTATTACGTTTATGTTTACATTAGTCAGGTGTAGCTTGATTTCGAGCGGCAGAGACACGTAACGGTATTTCAATTGCTACAAACTTGATGTGTAAACAGAAGCGTCAGAGAACGGCGTAGAACAGCAGTGGAACGAAGCGCAATTCATTACAGAACCGGCAATGCTGTATATTTCATTACAAAACAGGTAATACTTTGAAAATTTAAAGAGAAAATTGCTTTCGATTCTCATTTTTATTTATATTATATATCTAAATACGACATATTAATAAAGTTCATTTAAGTGCTACTGGTATGAACGTGGTTCCATTTTTCATTTTTGCAAGTGAACAAACAATTAAATAATGAAACAACGCGTAGTTAAAATATATATTAATTGCATTAAAATATATTATAATTGAATTATTATAATTGATATATTGAAAATATATATAATAATTGTACGAAAATATACAAGATGGTATAAATAGCAATTAGTGTAATATTATTCGGAAATCTTAATTAATGAATTCATCTATTATTATTTTATTTATTATTTATTATTGCTTAGTCCGTGCCTTTCGGCTTTCGACGAACTTTCGGCTTCACATCTCTTATGTCTGTTTCTCTTCTTATGTTTCTACCTCGCCTCTTTTCCACTCTATTCTATTGCACTCCCTTAATTATTCCATCTCTAAAAACTAAAACTATAAACTATAAACTACAAATTAACAACTAATGACTAAAAACTATTGCGACTTTGGTCTTTAGCCTCCTTGCTGTGCCTCCTCCTTGTCGTTTGCCCTTCTCTTCCCTGTTATTGCTCTCAGTTCTGTTAAACTAATTACTGAAAATTCTCAATGCGAGAATTCATTGTAAATATTAATAAATAAAAATGAAAGTTCCGTTAAACCTTCTCCAGTCTCAATTAGCGTGTTTCCTATGTCCTTTGGTCCTCCCTTTATTTCACATTCTTCTATCACATGTCTCGGGTCTTCTTCTTTCCTTCTACATATGATAGTCTGCATCGAATTCATCTATTCTTGGTATAATATAGTACAACTTTATATAAATATAATATGAACATAATATAGCTTTAATATCGCAAACAGGACATTTCTAAAACGAAGAGAATGTTATCCTTTATCGATGTTACGATATTGGATAGAAAAGATTATACGTGTATTGCTATATAAAAAAATGAAAGTTTTTGATCCATTTTTTTGTGCCAATTTTTTGTGTCCCAGTTTATTGCCTCTTCACCACTGGCTAACTGTTGCTCAGAATATATTTTTTTTGTCGGATTATCGGACATGTCCAAAAAACTGTAGCGACTATTATATTGCAGATATACATATATACCTTGTATAAAGTGGAACTATTGTTTACCTTGGAACATGAAATACCTACGAATAGGGAAAAAGTCTATTTTTGTTTTCGTTTATTACAGAGAATGTCATGGTCAAATTATATGCATACAAAAAGGGTCAATAAGAAATACAGTCTAAAATATTATTAAGTTACTACTAAGTGTTACAAAATTTAATATGTTTGA